CTTTCTTTCTTTCTTTCTTTCTTTCTTTCTTTCTTTCTTTCTTTCTTTCTTTCTTTCTTTCCCCTTCCTTCCTTCCTTCCTTCCTTCCTTCCTTCTTCCTTTTCTCTCTCTCTCTTTTTCTCTCTCTCTCTTTCTTCATTTCTTTCTTTCTTTTACTTTTTGCAATTACATCCCTTTTACCTAAATAACACTAACAAGTATTCTTCTCCTGAGAAATATCAGTCTCCATGAAGAAATCAGAGCCATTGAAGGCTCCCATCAGCAGGGCCTGGCAAAGAGGACAGGCCACATTCTCCTGATGAGAAGGGCTGAGGGCTGGGAAGAGCAGCAGGAAGGAAGCACTTCATTCTAGAATCCAGATCTACTGACAGAGTGTTTCAAGTATCCCTTAAGCACATACAATTTATGAATTTTTCTAAAAATAATTTTTTCCATAGCTATAAAACTGCACATACTTGCTTCCTAATTTTAAATTAATAAATTATCTGTAGATCAAGTTGTTAAAATTTTAAATCCTCTCATATTTAGTTTTTGATCATACAAATTATATAATTACAATAATTGTTATATAATAGATATAACTTTTAAATCACACACATTTATGTTAACATAAAAATTAGCAACAAAGCTCCTAATATCTGGTAAAAGCCAGTTGATGGGCCCAGGAACTCAAAGGCTAATGAACTGAAAGGCATCAGTGAAGGTCTGAAGCTAAAGACTCTAGATTGACCAATAAATGAGAATAAGCAGAAAGCCACACACTGTCTGTTGGGTAGAGAATTCTCACAGTTATGGGGAGTTTTTCTCCACGGCTCAAGGAATATACGAAAAACATCAGCCCGGATGGTTTTCTTTCTCCTTTAATTTTATGAAGACATAATCTTTACTTCTCTCTCTGTGTGTGTGTGTGTGTGTGTGTGTGTGTGGTGTATTGTGCAGGTGTGTGTGGGGGTGTGATGCCGAAACACGCATGTGAGGAGGCTAGAGCAGGTTGTGTGTCCTGTCCCATCACTGTCAATCTTACTCTCTTGAGACTGTCTCCAACAGAAACAGAGCTAGGTTGGCAGCCAGCAAGGCCCAATGATCCTCCATTCTCTGTCTTCAACAGCGCTGGGGACGTGGCTTGTGTGAGGCCATGACTGTCTCTTTACATACATGCTGGAGATCCAAACCCTGCTCCTCAGGTTTACACAGCAGGCGTTCTTCTCCCCTAAGCCATTCCTAGCCCCAAGAAACACTTTAATAACTCTACTTAAAACTCTTCGCATGCTTCCTCAATTGTTTTCAAACAGAGAAACTTGTAACTTATTTTAAGCACTGTATGGGAAAATTTCTACTTATCTGTATTAGTATAAGCTGTTTATTCAGGGTTCTGACCAATACCTGTGCAGAAACCAGATGGAAGGAAGGAGGGTGGGTGCATGTGGGTGGGGGTGGTCATATGAAAGGAAGAAAAGGATTGGGTGCTCAAGAGTACAAGAGCTCTAGTAAAGAAGGCAGCTAGTTAGAGACCTTCAGAGGAGGCATGTTAAGGTGTACAAATTCTCTCTTATCCTTTGAGAAATCCCAGAGGAAGAACATGGATGTGTGAGGTTTTGGGGCGAGAGAAGCCTGTAGACCAGCCTGAACCAAGCAACCCACTGCTGGGGGACAGTCAGAAGGACATCCCTGGATGCTAAAAACCTGTATGGGACAGGGCTGGTTTCCCTCCCTGAGACACTACAGCCATAGCAGAACCCCCCAGGAAATGTGTTTCTGCTTTCACATAGGAGAATAAATGTCGTGATACTAATTGAAAATTGCTAGACTGATAAATAGCATCTCAATTTATTGACTCTCAATTTTGCATTATCTACTTATGAAAGGTTCATTTTAATAACTGTATAAGTAGGCTTGTACTCTTCAGCCAAAAGATCATTTTAGGGTTAGAGCTACTGCTCAGTGGTGGAGTGTTTGCCTGACAGGGGTGAGGCCCTATGTTCAGTCCCTAGCACCACAAAAGAAAAGAATAACAAATTACTTTTTATAAACTGAATGTCAGTGAATGAAAGCATGTGACCATAACTGTGTGATATTGGCAGTGGCAACAACAATCAGGTACCCTATACCTGATGACACCGTAAGTGTCAAGAAGGAAGTGAAGTTAGGCTTACGACTTTATACTTTAACCAGGCGGTGTATCTTCAGCCCCTTCCCTCTTTGCAGAAGAGGCAGGAAACACCAGGGTGCGGGAAGCCCTGATGACCCTGGCTGCTGGCTGGTAGGAAGAGAGAGTGTGTGTGGCTGTGTGTGGCTGTGTGTGCTGACCTTCAGGAAGGCCTCCTTCTGTTCCAGATGCTTGCTGAGGAGCGGAATGACATGGTCCATCTCTGCCGCGGGCCCCAGCTTGTCTCGCCCGCCGCACCAGTCCTCATCCCTCCGGTACTCTTGCTCTAGGCTCTCCAGAACACTGCATACCTGGTGAATCATGGGAGAAGAGGCTCGGTAAGTGGAGCGCGTAGCAGGGATTCTCAGCGGGACTCCGGTGACGGCACTCCACATGGCAAAGCTCTCCATGTGAAGTTCAGCTTGGGGGTCCAGAGCAGCCACCACTCCTGGATATTCTCAAGAGGTATTCTGAGCACCTTGCGACTGGAGATGGCAATTGTGGAATTATTCCTTTATAGCTGAGGGCTGAAAAGGTTGATAATCTCACTCAGGAATATGATGAAGAGCAAGAAATGAAATAGGCTGGATATATAGGGACCTCCAAAGTGAGAAATCAATCACATATATACATACATACATATACACATATGTTATATGTCATACATGTGCTAACACATATACGATATATATCACATACATATACACACATATGTAACCTATATCACACATATATTCATATGCATTGTATGTATGTATGTATTATGCTCTCTAGCTATACTGTTATAACCTCGTGATAATTATGATCATGTAGACTGGGGTTGGAGAAGACACTTGATGACTTTCTTCAGCATCTGTCAGTCGGGAGCCTCAAGCCGTGGTAAAGGGGAAAGCTGCTTCTCAAGTGTGATTTATGGGCCATAAACAAAAGTCATCTTTCTACTCCCCTGAGGACAGATGTTCAAAGTCCTGCCATAAGGCAGTGACATCTCTAGGGCATCTATTATAAAATCACATTTCTTTCTGAGGGAGAATACATTTGAGTTAACCTCGAAGACATAATTTTTTTGTTGTTGTTGTTATAAAAATTCAGAGGCCATGCTGAGTGACCTTACCAATGACCTCAGAAGAGAGCAGAGCATCTAAAGAGAGTTCACAGGGAAAGTTAGGTTGAGTGTTACAGTGGGAATCTCATGGCGGCCTGGTATTGCTGCATGGAGAGTACAGAAAATAAAAACTCAGCAGACACTTGCCTAGCATACGTAAGAAAACAGGTTTTACCCCCATCGTGGCTTGATGTTAGGCAAATTCTCTACTGACTGAGCTATAGCCTCACCCAAGGATGTGGCTGGCTTTTGGACAGAACGTTCCCTGAGCTCTGAGTCACCGGCAGAACCCCCTCCTCATAGCCACACATGCTTGCCACGTCACAAGAAGTCTGTCCCTGATCATGAGCTCACTTGTCCAGCCTCCGCCTTTACTACTTCTTTTAATGCAAAACACAAAGCATACAGGCAAGCGCATGTCTTGAGATAAAACACATAACAAAACATGCAGAAATGTCAAGACTAAGACTTTTGAGACCTGTTCCTGAATAGGACAGAATCAGTCTTGAAGCGACACGTACAGTAGAGTCTGAGTTGTTTTGACTATGGATGCATTTTAAGTAGCTGCTCATGAGGGAGGAAAAAAAGACACATGAACCAGCTGCAGGGTGCAGTATGGGAGTCTAGATGGACCAAGTTCGGTGAAATCAGGCGGACCCTAGACACTTAACAGAAAAGCAATGCTGATTTTATTATCAAGGATGGGGGTATTTGTTACAGAGTTATTATGACAGTGCCTGACTGATACACTGCTCAGAGCTAGCACTCAGCACACCCACTTTCTACTCTAACACCACCGTATTGATCTGATGAGATTGAGAAATTTATGAAAAAGAAAATCCCATGGTTTCTTGCTGTAAAGGGGGGAGGGGAGTAAGAGTGCCAAGGGTAGTGTTTCCGCAAGCCGTCCTCTTGTTCTCAAAAGTTAGTGTGGACATGCCTGGCTTTTAATGCTGTGCTATAACATGAGGCAGGAAATAGCCTCCCTCAGCTTCCGCTCACGTCCACAGACTTCCCCCTCACCTGCTCAGAGGTCTTGTAAAAGGCCACAGAGGCATTGACCAGTTTCAGCCGGTCTTCCATCTTGAGCATGAGCTGTTGCCAGTGGAGGGCCACCTTCTCGGCACATTCCCGGATGGCATCGGCGTCGTAGTGGCCAGCCTGGAGCAGTGCCTCCGCCTTCTGCTGCACCTGCAGGGCGCTCTGGTGCGTCTTCTGCAAGGAAGTGGCATGAAAGAGGGACTGGGCACGAGGGGAGGAGAGAGAGGTCCATGGGAGCAGCCCAGGTGTGATATGGGAGGGGGTGGAGTGAGGTGTGATTGGAAAGATGCAGAAAAGTTAAAGAGCTTTAAATGCCTGATCCATTTGTCATGATGATCAACACATTATTGTCTTTTAAGCACATTTTTTTTTTAAAAAAGAGGAAATCATACATTTTCATTCATTTCTCAGGATCCTACATCCTGACCCCATTCTTAACTTTCTACTTCCACTATCCTAGATTTTTAAGAATATTTCAGTTCACATAGTAGAGAAACAGAAGTTGTGTATAAACCTGCCTACTGATTGGCCTTTTAGTTTAATCTCCTTTCCAAACCTAATCATAAAATTGCTTATCACTGAACTGATGCAGCATTTTACAGATTAAGTAAGCATCTCCCCCTGCCCCCGACCACCCCAGGTAACGCACATCTCAGCTAGCAAGCAACACACAATCTTAAACAGTAACAGTCAGTTGAAAAGGGTAAACTTGGCAGGGTGTTAGAGCTGAAGAGTGACCTCTCAAGTCCCACCCCTGTCCTGGCAGTTTCTCCACCAAAGAAGCTGAGCAGTGCAGTCCCAGGGCAGGGTCCTTTTGCTATTTACAATGACTTTTAGGAGATAGGCATCTCACATCTCACTTTCTTTATGGTTTCTATTAGGACTAACTGTGTTTTGCCCCTTAACTGCAAGAGGCTGGGGGACCTGGCTGGAGGACTAAGTGGCAAAAACAGAACAAAACAAACAATAACAAAAAGCAAAGTTTCAAGCTGTGGAAGACAAATGCAATGATCTCTCTTTTGGGCCGTTTTGTGTCAACTTGACATAAGCTATGGTCATCTGAGAGGAGGGAACATCAATTAAGGAAATGACTCCCATAAGATGGGGCTGTAGACAAGCCTCTAGGGCATTTTCTTAATTAGAGATCAATGGGGGAGGGTCCAGCCCATTATGGGTGGGGCCATCCCTTGGCTATTGGTCCTGGGTTCTACAAGAAAGCAGGCTGAGCAAGCCATGAGGAGCAAGCCAGCAAGCAGCAACCCCTCCATGGTCTTTGCATCAGCTCCTGCCTTTAGGTTCCTGTCCTACTCAAGTTCCTGCCCTGACTTTCTTCAAGGATGAACAGTGATGAGGAAGTGTACTTTTCCCATTCCTCCCCAACTTTGCTTTGGTCATGGAGTTCTACCACAGCAATAGCAATTCTAACTAGGACAATTCCTGTGGGAACATCAGAGTGCTACTGACTTGGAAAAGCTAGCAGCATCGAAAACTCAGCCACTGGATCCTCCCAGCTAACGGTAGTAAACAATGCTGGCTAGAAACCCTCTAGAGTATCTGGTGATACTCCAGAATTCCTTTCTACTTGGCTTAAGCAACAGGGCTGAGAGCATTTTGTTTGTTTGTTTGTTTGTTTGTTTTTTTCCAGAGCTGAAGACCGAACCCAGGGCCTTGCACTTGCTAGGCAAGCGCTCTACCACTGAGCTAAATCCCCAACCCCCTGAGAACATTTTTAATAGCTGATTTATTCAACTCTCCTTGGGTCTGAGGGCAACCTCCCTCAGTTTTACATGAACTTCTTCTTGATCCTCACCACATCCGCCTTTTTCCCCTCAACAGACTACATGCTGTACGTACGTAGTACAGCATGTACTACGTACTTTCTTACTTTGCCCTGTCTACAAGGCTTCTATGTGCTCACCCCTGCCCACCTGAACCTGTGGCAGCCATTAGTTCATCTCTGCCAGCCTCCCAGGCTCTTTGTGCCTTTGCCTTCACCCTGAAAGCCTTGGTTTTGATGACTGAGTTCAGTGCTGAACTCCTCACTGCTAACTGAAGCTAGAGAAGGTAAACTAGTGGGCAGAGCGATCCCTATGAATCCCCGATGTTCTTTGTTTTACTGGCACCGTTTTGTCCCCTTAATGTAGAGGTACAAAGGTCATCCCTTGCTAACAGTTCACATCTTCAGAGCCCTTACCTACTCCCCTGGATTCTATTACTTCCTTTTTGACGAGGCCTCCCCTAACTGATCTTCCTCTGGAATTGTCTTCTGATACAAGGAAGCCCACCTCTCACCCTTTTGGGGAGGTGTCGCCATCTGTGGCAGGGCAGATGCCAAACTCTCCACAGAAGCCAAACCTGTCTCTAAAAATGGTTCCTCAAAGTCATTGGCCACGTATGTTGGTGGCTTCCTTTTACTCATTTTCCCTAACACTTAGAATTACAATCTAAGTGTTTCTCTGACTGTTGCTCCTCCCTCCTCCAACCCAGTCCTACCCTCACAACTTCACAGATGCCCTTTTATGGAGGAAAGATGGCTACTTTTCTTTCCTTCCGGCTCTAACCCATAGATCCAATTCCTCACATTTTCTTATTCTTTTCTTTTCATCTGGTATTTATCTTGGGGTCCTGAACATGCCAAGCACAAATTCCACCACTGAGATACATTCCCAGTTCCTCATGGACATTTCCAGCAGTTTCATTTAATTTGATGCAACAGGAAGTGCTTCTGTTATCCTTTCCATCTCTAGAGCTTTCGTTTTTTTTGTGAGCTCCACCCCTTTCTCTCAGTTCTGAGGTCTTCAGCGGCTCCCTCATTGCTTCAAACCTAGGTACAAACCTGCTATCACAAGAGCCCTCCACAAAGAGGTCTGTACCTGCTTCATCATACCAACTACACTTTCTCCCCAAATCTCTGGAAGCAAGCCACAAACCTTCCTGCTTTGCTCTTCCTTCTTCCTGTCTTTGGTAATTGCTCCAAGCCCCTGTCAATGTCCCATCTGTCCTTTGAAAGTTGCCTCGAATCTGCCTTCCTTCAATGAACCCTTTCAGATGGCTTGAAACTCAGGGATTCTCCCCCCACTTCTCTGAACTGCTTTGTCACTTTGTTAACTCTAGGAGGGTTCCTGTGGCTTAGTAGGTAAAACTGTCACAGCAGGGGTGTGTGTGGCTTCATTCAAATGGCTGTCACTTCTCCAAGGTGTGTGTGGTTTATGCATTGACTTTTTTGGTTCACACAGCCCTTCTATGAGGTGGACTTTATTTCCATCTCAGAGACTGAGACATCAAGGCACAGCAGGCTAAATGACTTGCTTTGAAACCTACAACAAAACAAGTGATAAACCCAGACTTCAGTTTAACCTATTCCCAGACTTATATTCTTTTGCAGCGTATGACTTTTTCCTTTAAGAGTAGAATGAAATCTGGAGCATTTCTTCTTTGGAGGAAGGTTTCCAGATGAATGTTAGTGATTATGACAATTATCTCTTCTGCCCTTAACATGTAAAACCGCATATAACTGTCATCATAAACCTGTTTTGATGCTTTCTTCCTCAGAGTGCGGAGCAATCTCAGCTTTCCTATAATTTGTGTCATGTGATAAACCTTGTCCCTTACTCTGAAGCTCATTATTCTGTAACCTTCCTGAGTGGGCCTTTCCTCTTTAATTTCCTAAATGATAAATTCTTATCTGTGTGTCCTAATCTCTGCTTTGCGAAGCTGAAGTCATTACTTTGCATTTACTTTCTTATCATCTAATAAACTTATCATCTAATCCTATTGAGTGTTGTAGTTTTAAGATGTGGATTATCAAGGACATTAATATTTAGTAGGCGTTAAGTGCAAGAAAATTGAACTAAATCAATTGAATTTATTATCCAGTGTTAACCACTTTTCTGGTATAACATTTATGCTTAAATGCACAGGAGGATTTCAAATAGAAACAGATTTTAAAGTCCAGCTTCTCTCTATGAATACACAGCAGTGTATCCAGTGCACTAATAATAAGAACCCAGTGTGTTTCATAACTACTCTGCTTTGAGGCCCTGCTTGGTTCACTGTGTGAAATGTTCTCAGGATATTTTCCTGAAAACAAGGCTGTATCTATATCAGGTACAAATTCTGACCTTTCAAGGGAAACCACCAAAGCAAGGCTTAAAACTATCCTGGCTTGGCCAGGACCATTCCAGTTTCTGACTGCTTTTCTAGCTTAATTATCAATAACCTGCTCCTTCACTTTTCCTTTTATTTGAGATAGGGGCTCTAGGTAGCCCAGGCTGGGTTTCTAATCCTCCTGCCTTGGCCTCCAGGAGTTCTGGGATTATAGGAGTGGCCAGTATCCTTCAGTCTTAAAAATGTGTCAGTTTATACAGCAGATGGCATCATCTCACCAATGGCTGGTTTCCCTATAAAACCTTCAGCTTTCTTTCATAGGTTCTAAGAAGGCAAATTATACCCCACCCCACACCCAGCGATCAGCACAAAGGCCTTCAGTAATACTGGCACACAGGAAAGCCAAACTAGGCTGCTTAACCTCTCTTTAAAATGGCTTACATCCGGCCAAGAGTACATGTTGTAGTCTGTCACTCAGGAGGTCAAACATTAGGGCAGCCAGGAGTTTGAGTCCTGCTTGGGCTACATAGTAAGTTCAAGGTCAGCCTGGCTTATGTAGTGAGACTTGGTCTCAAAAAACATTGCTTGCATCCTCTCTGGCATATTCCTCTCTAGATGTAGAACCCAGTCTAAACTCAGTGTACAGACAACTATGGGCTGTCTGGAGGAGCAGATGAATAATTCTGGTTGTGCTTCTTGTTTATCTAGCCACACTGCAACCTGATGAGCTTCCATTACCAAGACATTCTAAGAATTCTATCTTCTCTGTTCTTCTTGAGATCAGACACTACCCCTAGAGTCACCTACCGCTCACCATCAATTATTTACTAAAGTAATACCCCCACAAAACCCACGAGGGAGTAGGAGACATTTGTTCTTAGCTGGGCTCTACTATGTGACAGTGTAGTGACAGCTCACCAAATTAACATGTATGACATAGACAGCCACATAGGGGTTACTATAGCAACACACCGTGGAAACATGTACCTACTCTTTCTCAAGTTCACAGAGGTACTCTAGTGTGCTGGGACCCTTGGTCTGACTTGGCAGACGTTTGATTAAGAGCCTGGAATGGTAATCATCCAATCCAAATGTTCTTATTTGTGGAGAAAGATGACCAAGAGTTATCTCTGCTTAAATCCCCCACGGCTTCGGGCCATGCCTGTAGCCTGTTGGCCTAACCCTCTGGGTTAGCTATGCAAACCTAGAGACCAGCGGTTCTCAACCTTCCTAATGCCGAGGCCCTTTAATACAGCTCCTCACGTTGTGGCGACCCTCCACCACACAACTATTTCATCACTGCCACATAACTGTAATTTTGCTACTGTTCGGATATAAAATCCACAGAATGTTTGATTTGTGTCCCCCGTGAAAGGGTCATTGGACCCCAAAGGGGTTATGACTCTCACAGGTTGAGAGCCATTGCTGTAGACACTTGGCCACTAAATACCTGGTTGTAACCCCAAACTAGGTCTCTCCTGAGGAGCTCCCACCACTATCGATTTGCGGGTGCCAGTAATTTGTAACAGAGACATAAAACTCCTTGCTTCCAGGTAGCTCTTCGAGAGTAAATGCATTGCTTCTGCTGTGTGTGCAACATACTGTTTGCTTTTCAACCTCAGACCCCTGACAGCGCTTACAGACTAATAACAGTTCCTAAGAAGATATCAAGTGTCTTATGGAAACATGTCATTCATCCTAACAACATATTTACATGCATGAAAGATGACTTCTGGAAAATTAAGTGGCTGAACTCAATTAATATTAGTTACGGAAGGCCAGCAGTCAGCTGGATGACTATATTAAAAGACATTTATGAGCATAGATAATTAAAATTTGTTATTTTTCGGCCATGATTATATAAAAATAATTTGCAAGAAAATAGCTCCATTTATAGTTCCCGCTCACTCAGAGGTAGGCAAAGCTCTACACTGAACTCCATGTAACAAGCATCTGAGATCCTTATTCTTTTCTCTTTCCCCACTGGTGCTGAACTTGTTTTGTTTTTAATATAGTTCCATGCCCTATTTCTATTCTTTCTCAGATACCACTGAGAAGCAATCTACTAAAGTCTCTCTGGGAGGAGAAGGTCCTGGTAGGAAAATAATTGAAGGTATTATTTAAAGCAAGGCAACATTACTTTATCCAAGTGAATTTTCTTTTAAAATAGGCTTTTAAAAAGTCCCAGTTGGTAGTCACAGTTTATTCCTCAAACATGGCTTCTGCCAGCATAACTGAACAGACACTTTCAGCATGCAAACTATATGGTACAGCCTGTTGCAATGCTTGTGGTCCTTGTTAAAAGGCAGATTCTAACCTGGATTGTAAGTGTTTAAAAGCATTCTTCCAATTTATTACTGACTTGCACACCTATTTATCCTCATTTTTGAGTCGTCTTCAATTGGAGGCCTTGTCACCTTTTAGCTTTGTATTTCTCACCTGGTACACAGTTTGTGATGGGTAAAAATCTCACACTATGAGGGCCTTATGGTACCCGTGAGCAGCAAACATTCTCATCTGAAGTACAAATATACGGCTCCTGATATTATGTGTGCAGAACGAATCCTGCACTCTGCAGACAGGAGTGTGAAGGTGACGTCCTGGTGACTCCTGTGCTATGTCACCAGGAAGACATGAACTCTGGCACCTGAGGGAACACTGGCATCTCAGAAAGCCACCCTACCCGAAGCCCAGAGTCAGAGAGGTGAACAGAGGCAGTGCATCCAGATTTGGGGGTTACCTCGATGGCTAGTTGGAACTGTTCATGCTCCCGCTGCAGCTGCTCTGCCTCGGACAAGGAGCTGGCATTGACGAGGCTGGCGTTCAGCATCGACTCTCCATTTCGGATCCACCCCAGAACCTAGGGAGTTGGGGATAAGCACACATGTGAATGGCCCTCCACAGTTTCTCCAGAGCTGCTGCCTTCCCTATGGGTACTTCAATCAAAGGGCTATCTTCGCTTCCCTGTTAGAGAGAGGACAGCAAGGATTCCGATGAGCCACCTTCCCAATCTTCCATGTCTGCTGTCATAAGGCGTGTACTTTCTGTATCAGCTTTATTCTCATGTTGTTTTCCCCTTGTATCACCTGCTGTCCCAATGTCCCCACCAAATTAAGGAGCATGACTTCATCTGGCTGTAATCTATGTATGTCTAAAGTTCTTTCTAGAACACAGAGTGGAACAGATAAGTTCCAACTGTTGGTATCTTTTACTTTCAGCTTTTTATTATTTATGTCTTTATGTTTTGTTTATTTATTGGGAACTTCATACAATATATTTTGATCATATTCTTTCCCCCTACCCAATTCCTTTTTTCTGTTGGTTTTTTTTTTAAGGGCCCAGTTCATATAAGAACATCTTGAATTCATGCATGCCTCAGTCCTCCTGTTAGAAATAATCTTTTCCTCATGCACTATGCCTGTGCCATTTTGTTCGTTTCACTTTAATGTGGCTTACCACAGAATGACTTTTCAGTTATTTCAACATGTATTTTACCCCCCTCTTAAAATGTGAACTCCCCAGAGTCGAGGGCAATCTTCTAGTCAAATTTTAATCTTACATAGTTCACTTAATGGCTGCTGCATAGAATGTTATGAAAGTAATGAAGATTACACAAGTCATATAACAGCCCAGAGTATACAAGCCTGAGTGAGCAAACAACTCAAAAAGACAGAGAAAGCAAGAAAAATTCAAAGAGCAGATGATTACCAAAAGGGAAAGTAAAGTATAATCAACTTAAATTACCCCGTGGCCTAGATACAACTTTGAGGGTTCCTAATAAGTACTGTGGGGAAAAGAAATCTACAATTGGAAATATCAGGATAGAGGGAGCAAGAAGTACTGTCTAGAGACTGTAGGAGTTCTCAATCTATGGGTCATAACCCTCAGAAAACACATATTTCTGGTGGTCTTAGGATCTGAGACACTGCTCAGTTGAGAAATTACAGTTATGAAGTAGCAACAAAATAATAAATTTATGGTTGGGGGTTTCTAAGAACATTGGAAATATATTTTCTGATGGTCACGACCCACAGGGCCGCTGGTCTAGAAAGTTCTAGGAAATAGAGATGTTGTAATTATCAGGTTAACAGATTCAGCACAGATAATCAATCCAAAGGGAAGCCGGAGGCTCTGAAAGCTTCCCTGCCGTGTGGTCACTAGAACACAGCACTAAGCATCTCCTTCTCTAGGAGCCTGAGGTTCTTTCTTAGTGAGGAAAAAAAAAAAAAAAAGAAGTTCTGAAGTTTCAGTCGGTGAATACCATCCGTATGTCACTCTGTGTGAAGGAGAAGACACTACCATCTATTTCAGATTTGCCCTTAGTTTTTTATTTCCCTTCCCTTTCTTGTGTTGAACAAGCGGGAAATACTAAGCCTGGTCCCCTGCCCCGGAACTCTCATGGGCATCCTGCAGATTTCATTCCCAAGCAGAAACTGAGTGAAGCCTTATTGTGCATAGATTACGAGAGGAAGAAATCCTGCTGGAGGCTGGCTAATTTGGATTGAGATGTTAATTCGTGGCCAATCTGGCAGATTGTGGATGAGGTGCCAATCTTTGAAGTAATTAGCTGCGAGAAGGAAGTGTTCGGCATGTATGTGTAAAATCCTTGTTCCTGGTGGGCTGGCTGGCTCTTAGAGGAGCTGATGATTTTGAAGAGCTGCCTGTTAATCGGGGTCCATGCATTCATGGACTGCAAGGCCAAATACCTTTGTCTCTTTGGAAAACGGAGCTCACTGTGTACTTTGAACTACGTCTCTCTACCATGTTTCACTGATTTCTGCTTGCTCTGGAGACACATGTGTGGGTGTCATCAACATACCTTCTGCATGCACATCACAAGTCAGTGTTAGCCGAGTCCTCATGAGTCTGGCTAGAATATTTTCCTCTAGTTCTAGGCATCAGCTGTAGCTTCGGTGGTGGGGATACTCACCAGCCTTCCCACTGAGTAAATCATGCATTTGAGCACCTACTTCTTTCAGGAAATCATACCATATTCTTGTTTACTTGCATTCCAAAAAAATGCTGCTTACAAAGGCTTCTTTGGACTTCGGAGTCCTAAAGATCTGAATTTAGCCATGGCTTTAATGCAGGGTGAAACTGAGCACCGTTCAGTAAGCCCATTCTGGAGGCAGATCTGGCATAATGAAGAGAGGAAGCAGAACACCTGAAGTCACCCAGCTTGACTTTGTCCCTGCCTTGGAAAAAATCACTTAGCTTCCCTGAACCTCAGTGGTCTCATCCGTGTCTGGATAACTCTTCCCCCCGCCCCCCTTTTGGCTTCACAGGGCTGATGCAGTGCCCTGTGAAACGCTAGGTACTGCTGTTGGTTCTGAAAATGTTCAGTTTGGAGCAAGGATGAAGGGCAGTGCTGTGCTCCTTCATTTATAATTCTCCCAGTGAGTGGGGGGGGAGTCATTTGACTTTATTACTTTAGTTAGTTATTTAAGCAAACTTGTTGGTGCCATTTTGATGTCGCATCAGTTTCTCAGATTGCTATTTATATATGTATGTATGTATGTATGTATGTATGTATTTATTTCTGAGGCAGGGTTTCTTTGTAGACCAGGCTGGCCTTGAACTCACAGCCATCCGTCTGCCTCTGCCTTCCCTGAGTGCTGGGGTTACAGGCGTGCGGCATGCCGCCCTGTTCTGTTATCATCCTTTGTACCCAGATCACTGACAGTCCTGTTGGCATAACTTCCTCTTATGAGGCTCTTTTTATCCTTTTGGTTAGTCAAATTTGTTAGTTATTATCCCTTGAGCATCCAAGTGTGTACCAGGTAGTGGGAGAAATATTGTAACTAAAATAAAAAAAAAATATTGGTTCTATTAATATCAAACTGTGACTTTAGAAACATTTAATCACAGTTCAGCTTTCTCACTGTAAAATGTGTATGCTTTCCTTTCCTGAACAAAAGCGTTAGGATAAAAATAAAATCCTCACTGTAAAAGCACCTTTCAAATCACCAGAGTAGCATTTCACTCTCATCAACTGCAGTAACAATTTACCTAACGGATTAGTGTCATGGTGTGAATGCAAAATGTCTTCCATAGGCTCCTGTGTATGAACACTTAGCCCCAAGATGGTTCCTTCCATTCTGTTTGGGAGGAGGTGGGTTACTGGGCGGGCCTCAAGGCTTTAAACAGTGACCTGCTCTCTGTTCACTTTCTGATTCCTGAGTTGCTAAAAGCCCTGACAGCATGTATTTTCTGCCTCTTGCCACATATTCCCTACCATGACAGAATGCGTCTCTCTGTAAGCCAAAAGAAAGCCTTTCTCTTCTAAGTTGCGCTTGTCAGGGTATTTTATCATAGCAAGAAGAAAGTAAGTGAGACTTTATTGGAGACAGATGTCTTTAAAGGTCATTTCCTGCTCTAACATTTCAACCTTCTTTCAAATCCAAAGACTGTCCCTCCAACCATGAAGAACCATACATATTCAGAAAGAAACTGGACATGTAGACTCAATGATTGGAAGAATACTGCTGTTTTCAGACTAAAGCACTAGGCCAAGAACTCAGCTTAGTCTGTCTTTGCTTAGTGGGAGAGCTGAAAGTACAGACCTATTACGTCCTCAGGTCAAAGAGGCTCAGATAAGCCAAAACCCGGAGCAGGCAATGGCTCCACAAACGATGCCCTGAAGCTGGCAGCCTGGACCTGGCTCTCTGCTGGCTGGAGACGTGGCTTGTAGATGACTGTTCTCCAGGTCATATATCCACCATAAAACCAAGAAGTTGTTCTCAAGGCAACTGACTCTGATGGTTACCTTAGGTGGCCTCTCTCGAGGCATTGTTACTTCTGTTAACTCTAACCACAAAATAAATTCCTGGCTCCTTAGACGTCTACCTTCAGAATTCTGAAAGTTCGTAAGGTTGTATGTGTTCATCATTTCTGGCTTTACAGGTTGTGTCCATTTTCCTTATGTCATCTTAATTATCTCCATTTGGAAACAATGTCCTTTTGTTTCTCTAGCTTGGAACTACCCCAGCTCCTTTCTGATTCTGATAAACAGTCATCAAAGCTGAACACAGCATTCATCACAGAAGTATAAGGGCAGGCTAATTTTTCTTTTTTTAAGTGTCTGTACTGACCAAAAGCAAATTCTGGCCAGACTTGGCCCGCAGAAGCAATCCAATATTCTACAAATACGGTTTATATTGAATCTTGTGCTCTGCAGGAATACATATGGAAGTGCGTTCTGTTTTATGCCATTAGGTCATCCCCTCTGCCCGCCCACCTGAATTTATCTGATAGGTGTGAGGTCATCTTTACCACAAGCAGTACTTTTTCTGGAGGCAACCAGAGGATTCTGTGGGGTCTGGAAAGTAGTCTGAGGAGCTTTCGGGCGGTCTGGGAACCTGTGCCGTGTGTGTAATCGGCGCAGTGGTTTCCTTTCAGGGCACCAGAGGTGTGTGTGCTGCTTATCTTAGACACTGGTAATCACTAAGAGAGAAATCTGTGGCACTCATCAAGAGCATTTGTTTGGAATAGTTTAAGATAAATTTCAGTTTAATGTCTATGAATTTTTCATTCTTTAAATAACTTCCAGGTAACTTCATTTAAGATTATGATGGCCACACACAGTCAAAGCTAAACCTTTAATGTATGAGCGCCAACAACAGAGTTATGTCATAATACACTATTGTGTATTATGTATTACATTATTGTGTAATAATGGCCTCATTAATGGCACTTCAATTACGGTGTCTCCCTTCTCTTTCTCTCTCTCTTTCTCTCTGTCTTGGAGAATATGTTCTCTCAAGCCTGAATCTAAACTTGGTGTCACCGATCAATACTGACATCTAAATTAACTACTTTTTTTTCCCCAAGTGTCAACAGCTTAGAAATCAATATTTCCTGCTCCACCAATTTCCATCGGACACAAATGCTTCCTTGGAAACTGGATCAGATGTTTCCTTGACGAAAGAGCCTTTACTGACAAGGAAAACAAGTCTAACTAATGAGGCATGGTGGCTTAACCAAGCTGCAGTTCCCCTGGTGCCATGGAGGACAGCTGTCCTTTGTAATGGCCTCTGTGGGTTTCTCAGAGTCAGATGAGCACTCATTCTTTTTTGTTTGTAATTTTTTAGAGACAGTGTTTCTCTGTGTATCCTTGGTTGTTCTGGAACTCACTTTGTGGACCAGGCTGGCCTAGAACTCAGAGATCCACCTGCCTCTGTCTCTTGAGAGCATTTATCTTCATACAGATTCGAACTACAACTCCCCTGTGGCTTATCCAAGCCATTCTGGTGAGTAGGCACCTGCAGAAGGAAACTGAGTCCTCCAATTCATTCAATTATGACTGGGAACTCATACAGATATTAGTTCATCGATGCCAGAACAAAACATAACAAAAAGCAAAAGCAAAACCACAGGCTTTTCTTTAAGGTCCAACAGGAATGCTGTGGTCTCTGCTTGGTGTTGAAAGCTCATGAAAATTAGCAGGCGTGGGCACACAGGTAGACTCTGACATGCCACAGCCCTGCTGACATCAGGCAGATGCCGCTCTCTGAGGAGCCTCGGGCTACCCCTGCCCATCTTCTCAGACATGCTGAGGCCACGGGAGCCTGACTTACTCTGCTGTCCGTTCCCTCTTTGGCTTCTGCATGCCTGGGGGGCTGTGCGGCTCTGCACAGGAAAACCCTGCATTTTAGAGGTACAAGTTCCAACTAATAACTGAAGACATCCGTGTTGCTCTCTAATCCTACAGTACCTCGGTTTCCTCGCTTGTAGACAATAGTCTCCCTAAGGGCTTGTTCTCAGAAAGTAAGATCTTTCTTATCTTCCTACATGAGAATAACACATTATCATGACTGCCGAGAGTGTTAGAATATATATGCACATTACTACTCTCGGCCTCTGGGCATTTCCACCATGCCCTCTGTAGTAATGACAGTCCTCTCTGGAAGCTCAGGTGGGACCCCAGTATGAGGCTGAGAACATCTAGATGGCAGCTCAATGACCAAGCCAGGTGTGTAAACTCTGGCAGAGAGTCGACCAGAAGCGAGGGGAGTGGAGGTCATTTTAGCCAACGTAACAACCACGTGACAAGTGTGACATTTAGGGCCACCCTAAAGGTGAACAACTGAGCAACAGTTAAAAATGGCATATGTATGTTAACTAAGTTGATTTATATCTAAGCTCCAGTCATCACTGCACCTCAGGAAAAAGACGCTCGGAGAATAATTCCACAGGTGGAGCTTGGCCTCTGGAAGCAGGGCACTGGGTCCCTTAGGAGGGGGTGGAGGAGAGAGCAGCCACAGAAGTAAAGGTGGCAGCTGCCGGGCAGGAAGGCACTCCCAGATGCTGGCCCGGAGGGTGTGGGGGTATGTTCTTACCCTGTGACCACTGTCTAGGAATGAGCTACAAAGATTTCTGGGCATAGAAGAGGCACACAGAAGTAGCTACTAGTGTTTTCACTTCTTCAGTCTCACTCTGGCCAAGAGAAGCCTCCATCCACTGTCTACAATAACCGCCACCGGGTCTGCTTAGGAGAGCAACATTTACAAGTACGCCAGCTGTGTGTCTGCTTCTGAGTATGTCCTCCAGTGAAATATTTTGCTTGCGCAGGTAAGAATTCTTTCCCCTCCCCTTTTAACGTTAACTTTTAAATGGCAAGAAAAATATTCTTGTATGTATTCATGTGTATGCACACGTGTGATTGTGGATGTGAGTGTGTGAGTAGGAGTGTGTATGTATGAATACATGGAGGCCAGAGGCTGGTGTTTGGTGTCTTTTTCAGTTTCTCTCCGCTTTGTTTTCTTTCCTCCTTCCTTCCTCCTTTCTTTCAAAGATTTATTTCACGTGTGTGAGTGTTTCACCTGTGTATACGTATGTATATCATGTGTGCGTCTGTTATCTGCAGAGGTCAAAAGAGGGCACTGAACTCTATTGGAAGTGGAGTCATGGATGGTTGTGAGCCACCATGTGGATGCTGGGAGCTGAACATGTTTTCTCTTCGAGAGCGACAAGTGCTCGTAACCACTGGGCCATCTCTCAAGCCCCCACACTGCTTTCTGAGATCGGATCTCTCACTAAACTGGGAGCTTGCCAAGGCCAGCTAGGCTGGTGAGCCAATGAGCTCTAAGGATTTGCCTGTCTCTGCTTGCCCGTGGCCCATCCTCGTTCTGCGCATATACCCTGGTTTGCCTGCCTTGTTTTTGTGTGCCGGAGAGTGCCGGGGATCTAAACTCAGTTTGTTGTGTTTGTGTGATAAGCACTTTACCCACGGAGCAACATTCCCAGTTCCCCGAAATGTTATTGTAAGAACTATCCACACATGGGAAATGATGATAATTGCTACTGCTGAATCATTACTCACCAACTGTGTGTCATGAGCTGGGCTGGGCACAGAGTTGCCCTAGGAGAGCAGCCTGGCTCTACAGTGGAACATGGTTACTGAGAACGGATTTTTATCTCTCACTGGCTACGTGACAGAACCAAGCACAGGAGAGGAGAGAACAGATTTGGTGAAGAACACTGAGAATCCTTTGGAATGCTCCTAGGTATGAGAGAGGACTCGCACAGTTAAGAGTTTGAGCTACCACCCCCAACTGGGTCTTTTGTGATGACAGCCAGGATCCTAGAAATTGATCCAACGGATTCACACCCCAGCTTCCTTTCTATGGCTGGGTTACTCAGGGGCACACCGGTGGCTCTGAGTGCCTCCCTGCAGGAGGGCAGGGGCCAGGCGGGCTCACCTGCTTAACCTCGGCCTGGAGGTGCCGCAGCTGGAGACACTGCTCCAGCCGCTTGTGCGTCTGCTCCGCGTTGAGCTCCAGCTCATGCTGCTTCTCGTGGAGAAACTCCAGTAGCTCCTGCACCTGAGCTGCCAGGTCAATGTCCTTCTCACAGATCAGCTCGATTCCTGGTTTTAAAGAAAGGCAAACCATTAAAAACCAGGCTGCATGGAGACGGCAGCAGGGCTTTAGTTGTGTGAGAAAGCTGGACTTCGGGAGAGTGGGCCATTCCTGGCTCTCTCCCAGCCGCTACAAGGCTCTCCTTACGGCTGGACAGATGCTGTAATGAGTCCTCCTGTGGGCTGTTAGGATAATGCCGGCTTCCTTAGGATGAATGAATCCTTTGTCCAGGAAGCAATTTTCAACACATGGCAAGACCAGTTCCTTTTCATAAATGGGAGAGAAGGTGCCGCAACTCTGGAGATCCGTCGTGGGCAAGACAGCTCTTGGCAGCACCTGTTTGGAGACCTGCCAACACCCAGATTCGTAAGCAAACCTCCAAATCATCTTAAAAAAACGATGAAGCCAAATCAAAAGGGCCCTGTTTCAGGAACTCCTGCCAAGGGCTTATTCTATTCTAACTGGTTAGATATACAATTTATGATTAGATGAAAGTAGCTAACTACTTAGGTCTCCTAAGAAACCAATGCTGCCTTCCAAATATACATGATACATAGTTCCGACAATACCACAGGACCACTGAATGTTATTCATTCAGGGGGGAAAAAGTCACCTTTAAGTTTTGCCCACATGTAGAGTTTTTTCATTGTTCTACTGACTCAAAGCAGTTAGAAGGCCAGTTGCTTCCTGATGCATGTTTCCGATGTCAGGAAGCACCCTGCCCAGACAAATGGCCAGCCTGCCGTCGGTGGTACAGTCAGGCTGTGACTCTTGAGTGCAGATACGCACACCTCCTTCGCTGCTCATCCAATGTTCTACTCACCTACCATCAGCAGGTTCGGGGCAGCCTGCCTCACGTGGATTTCTGCTTTGGGGGGGGGGGTCACTAATAAAGTCAGATCTCACTCTTTCACTTGCTGGTGGCAAGAACTTCAGTCTTTGCTTAGCTTGGGAAGCCAACAATGGAATGTGCGCGACCAGCTCTGGGAGGAGCTCGGAGTCAGAATCATCCTGAGCAAGTCGTCTTAGCTCCCAGCAACTTCCTCTCCTCATAGGTAAGCTAGGCTTCTCCATAGCTACCCACCTTCCACACAGGTTGTATGATTAGGTGAGAAGATGCACGTAAGGAGCCTGGCATGTACACAGATGGCTAATGTGTACATGCCACACATATACGCACACAGCCAGTGTAGATCAGTGTATGCACGACAAGTAGAGGCCCTACCCTAGTCGCATGGATTTGCTAGTTCCAGTCTCTGACCTTAAAGTTGTAACTTCAGCCTTCTTACATTCGTGCTTCCTTGGCTCTGTCCAGGGTGCGAACTGTGACCCATGCTGTTTCCTGATTCTGATTGTTTACTTATTTGAAGGTTCAGCCTTGCTAGCCTGGTTCCCAGCCCCCCGGGGGGAAAACCTAACTCAGGACTGCCCATCAATCCTTATCTCTGACTCTACTTGGCCATGTGGCCTCACTGTTCAGTTAACATCTTTTCTCTGGTTTCTCATCCTGTAATCTGTGACCCGAGGCAGCTTATATCACAGATGGTGCTCATATCATGTATGAGATCTAGAAGAACAGGGATTCAAACAACAGTGGGGTTCATAATAAAATCCCTGCAGATAAATTCCCAAAGGAGCACATCAACCTAGGGCCACCTGAAAAAAAAAAAAAAAAAAAAGGTCAATCTTTCTTGAGAGGCGCCCCCATGATCCTGACAGGCCACCGGAAACTCATCCCGGCCTCCAGCACGCCTGCATCTGCATCTGGGAAGCACAGGCAGGTCTGCCCACACGAGGGGGAAATTCATTTCTGGAGGCAAAAAATAGTATTTTATATAAGGACAATATGGGAGGGTGGGAAGAATATTTTCTGGTGTTACATGATAAGAATTTCAGTATCTTCTCGTGTTTATTTTTTTTCCTGCGGGTTTCATAATTCCAAGTCCCAGCTCCTGAAATATCTGTGGGAGACAGAAAAGAACGGCTTGTTCTTTTGGCAGCCAACCCCCTCTGGTTACTATTTGTAGTCACCAGAAGGGTGAGGTAGGTGGGACATCTCCTAGACTGAAAAAAAAAAAACAAAAAACAAAAAACAAAAAAAACAAGAACTGGAGCGATTTTCATTTCTTATGGCTTGGCAGGGGTATGTGGTAGGGGCTAACCTCTGACCCTAAGCTGACTTTCTGGAAATGTGCTTTCAGGCTCCATCTCTGCTTCACCGCCGTTACAGTGTGGCTCTGTTCCAGATAATCTTTGCTCCCCTACATCTCCAGCGTTCAATACGCTAGGCTTTGTCTTTCTCTCAGAGGCAGGTGACTGACTCCCACCACAGCAAAGTTACTGACTCAGCAAGGAAGCTTGCTAGGCAAGCCACTGAGAACAAATGCCCAAGACCCAGGCCGTGCAATTCTGTTTGTGTTGCTTGTTATTGTCTTATGTGATGAACACAGGGAATCCAAGGGATGATGAGAGTGCCTAAAGCACCTCCACATCCTCAGTTACAGGTGGAGGGAATGACAGGCAAGGCTTGTCCTTGCCACCCAGAGGAACCAGTTCCACACTCTTCCCCATTAAACTCTACCGACCGGAGAGCCTCCAGGCATCACCACTGAGTAGATTTTGCTTCTGTTGACAACACTGCCCTGTGATAGACCTATCTGACCTACCTGTCCTGCTTGCGGCGGGGCAGTAATAATGTAGAACGACAAGATTGGTCCCCCCGCCCCCCACACAGGGAGTGGATATGTTTGTCTTTATTTTATTTTTTTGAGATTTCTTTTCAATGACCCCTTGCAGGAGACTGGCCCTGCCTCACTGGAGTGTAGGCTCTCTGATGCCAGGGCCAAGTTTGTTCCATTCATCACTGCCTCTTTTCTCCCTGCGCTCAACTCATATTGTTCATGTATAGCTCTGACCAGTGAGCAAGCAGGCCTCTTTAGGGACAAAGCAGGTTTGCACAGTGTGGTGGAGAGATCCCAGTAGGAACAGGCTTAGGTTTGAAGCTGTGCTCTGAAGCCGATTCATGGTAACACTCTGGGCTCTGTGCCCTGCCCTAAGCCCCGGTGCCATCTGTAAAATGGGAATTCTAAACCTATGGCTGCTGTGTCTGTATATACAGACACTGTATATACAGCGTCGGGCATTTTGCTAGCTCCAAATACTCTTTTCCACCTTTTTCCTGAGGTAAATTAATGAGAATATAGGGCTGGTTACTGATGAAATTGCTAAGTGTCTTATAAATATGAAATCTAGTGACATTTTTATGCTTGCTCAAAGTACATGGTTATAAACTATGGTGTTTTGAATGTTACTAGATTAGTGCTATGAACAGGGCTCACACACTGGGTTCATCTGGAGAACTCTTGAAAATTACTGTGTCCTACGAACTCCACAGACACAGCATCTCTGGCTGGCTGGTGGCCATTAGATATTCACAAAGCTCCTGAGGAGAATCTAACAATAACCAGGTGCATAACCATTAGACAAGACAGCAGTGGCCAAGGCCCAAGAAGCAGGTACTCTTTTTCCATATGTACTCTGCTTATTTTTTTGCACAGGGTTGGAGCGGGGTTGGGGATGGGGTCTCAATGTCACAGCTTATAACAAGTAGCCCTCTATTTTCTTTGGCTTCCAGGTCATGGTACCACTTTATTATTTTTTAATTATTATTATTTTTTTGTGATGCTGGAATTGGACCCAGGATTGTGCATACAAGGCAAGTGTTCTGCCACTGAGTAAACTCTCCCAGCCTCCAGCATCAGTTCAGTTTTCTCAAGAGAAGAGAGATCTCTGTAAGGGGCCAGAGTCCAGCATCCCTGACATCGGTAGACCCAGAAGGTTTTCAGCTGTTTCTGTTCCTAAATATCTGCGTCTGCCTCAGAGGGAGAACATCTTTTCTCTTCTCTCCAGCTAACCACTCATCTTTCTGTGCCACGCTGTCTAGAAAAAACCCAGGCAAGAAAGTACAGAGCCATGTAGTCGGGTTTTCAGATCAATGTTGTCTTCTCTGGCTGTACCTCGGGACAGAAGTCCTTAAAGGCAGCCCAAGCCAGGCCCATGAAGAATGCCTCCCTAAGGGGTGAAGCACAGACACCAGTATTTTGGAAGTGACTCTCAGTGTGTAGTGCCACTGTGAAGCACTGGCATATGTCACGGTTCTCATCCTCAGCAGTCCACGCCCCTGCTAAACCCAGGGCAGCTTTCATTCTGAAAAAGCTCAGGCTTCGCACTTTCTTTCCACGTATGTCACAGTAAGATTAGCTGCGGTCTATTATTTTTGCCTTCACCCGCACTGATGCTCATTCTTGTTTAACTTAGCAAAATGTCATTATCGAGAACTTGCTATGTATCGGGCATAAGCTAGAGGCTGCTGTGTAGAGAGACCTTACTCACACTGCTGAGGAAGCGACACAAGCCAAGCAACCCCAACAGCATGCTGTAAGGGCTAGGATACAAGCATAACACTGGAGGCATCAGACCTCATTGGATCTCTTCCATGCGCATGTATAATCCCACTGCACCCTCACTGTGACCCCAAATAGTAGGTTACTCTTCCTGAGAGAAGGGTGAGGCTTTGCGGAGACTGGGTGACATGTTCCAGGACACCCAGGTGGTGAGATGACCGGGCGTCACCCCAGTGTTTCCTCTTATATTTGTGCTCTTAGCCTGCACGATCAAGAGGGCTCCAAAAGCACAGTTTATTCAAACGTGTTTACATCAGACCCTGGTGGTGCAGGCATGGAATCCCTGATATTCAGGAGGCAGAGGCAAGAGGAAAGCAGGTTCAAGACCTGCCTGGGCTACAGAGTGGGTTAAGGAACAGTGTGGACTAGATGGAAAAGACAAAGATCTAAGGAAGGAGAATCAGGGCGTCCAAGGCCAGGCTGCTCATTGGCAGCACCACGGGACGCGGAATGCAGAGGGCATGTTTTCCTAACAGCAAAATCTCCCGTCCTGAGGCTCACGCAGACAAGCCATGGTGAGGAAAGAACGGGAGCTGACTGGGCTGTTGCTCCTGTTTCCCTAACTCCTAAGAGGGATGCTGACTCACAAAGGCTTTTGCTTTGGTTAGCGCTGCTGGTAGACTGGAGGCGGAAAAACCTGGCTCTGTGCTGTGAACATCACACCTGAAAACAGGCAAATGCAGAGTCTCTCGTTCCATGAACTACTGAAAATAAGCAGGCATATGCCTTAATTGATTTAGCAGAGGGAGGGACGTCTTACTTTCGATAATTGTACAATGACCAATTGTCGATTCCACCTTCACTCAAAATGCAGTTCATTAAACAAATATCCTATGACCCAAAGTCATCGCTGCCTCAGACCATTGTAAGTCCTGCATCCTCCAGCCAGGTCCTGCTCTGGATCCACCTCTGCTCCTTCCCCAGGTCCAGTGTGACCCTGATCTCCCGTTGTATGCTCAGAGTGACACAGACGGTGGGTTCTCTGTAGAGCTTCCTTAAAACCCATGGACTCGTCTCCCTTTAAGTCTCACAGGCTCTGCCAGACTGAACATAGCTATGGTGGGCGGCGGGGAACAGCCAGTCTTAGTGGAGAGAGCTGGGGAGGCCAACCAAACCTCTTTCAACAAAGCTCCTATCTAGAACAGGATATTGTGGGGGTGGGGGGCCCATCTGCTTGGGGGTATTTTCACCCACTCAGCCCTCCTGTTGAAGACTGATGCCAAGCACAGCCAACCTCCAGTCACAAGCAGTCCTCAGAGACTGCCAGCTCCCAGCAGCCTTTCTGGTACCATGGGTATTTGGATCTTGGGGTAGAAGGTGGCTTGCCGAAGGTCATGTCAGCACACAAATCCATTTGGAGACATGTCAGGGATGAAGGGCGAGCAACTGAGTTGCTTTGCCCAGCCTCTCTTCTAGATACAGTGTATCTCAAGCTGTAGGAAGCATCATAAAGGCAGCTGTTGGGCTAAACTAACCCCCCTCCCCCCAGCACAGATGAAATTCTCAACCACAGAAAAGGGGCCACAGTTCCTTACGGTCCTTACTCTTCCTTACCTGAGCAGGCCCCTGAAGAGATACTGAGTCTCGGATTTCAGCAAACATAGTCTACCTGGAGATCCCGTTAGCACGTAGACTCAGGCTCACATTCACAAATGCCTGGACATGAGCCTGAGCACTGCCATTCTGAAGAGTTCCCGAGCAGACTGCAAGTGAGCCTGCCCTTCTTAGGTTGGTTAGAGTGTGGGCTGTACTCTTAGGATGACCCAAGCCACACAGGTAACTGCATCCTCTTTGTGACACAGATGGATCGTGGAATAATTTTGCTGGCAAGAGTGAACAGAAACCACAGGTGTCTCCCTTATTTGGTCTGAAGTGATGATGCTCATCTGAATGGCAAACAATACTTACTTTTCAGATCTCCAAAATAGACACGATATTGTAAAGGCCGGTAGGACTTTGAGGTCCCCGCTGACCACCTCAATTTAATGTTCACCATTAAAAGGTGCATGGCCTGACTGTGCTTTAAAGAGGTGAGAGCCAGTCCAACTGCTTCTACCTGGAGAGCAAGAACCTGCCAACAGGCCATGGCTAGGGATGGCTAGGTGACCACAGAATGGCTTCTAACATTGCACAGGACTAAGAAAAGATGAGTGATTTCTTCTCCTCAGGGTCAGCAGTCTCCCCGGGTTGCTTTGGGCTCTCTCTAGTTTCAGAAAATATTGCCTTAGAGAGTGGCAGTGAAAAAAAATCACATATTTGTTGCATACAATTTGAATAACTCTCGAACAGAAAGAGTAATAAAATCCATGTTTTCCTAGGAAGTTATAAAATTACATGATCTTCCATAAGCTTTTATCAGCACTACTTAAAGTCATCTACAGACCAGTGATTAAAAGCAACAGCAAAACACGAAGATTCTGGGAAGCATAAGCCAGAAATCAGGGGACTGCTCATGAGCAGCAGAGAGAGCAGGAACCACAGCACTGGGAGGACAGCCTAAACTGGACAACCTTGGAAAACTTATTTCAGCTCTTAAAACTTTTTTTCCTCTTTAAAATAAGACGTGAACTTCTACTCTTTGTATTCGTAGGGATAAATTCAGCAGTGTGGAAGTTGGGGCCAGCAGAAGTTGGACCTCTGCTTCCATCACTTCTGCTAGGAGAATGAGAGCAACTTACCTGAGGCTTGCACTTCCATGATGTATTGGTGCAGGTCCTGGCCCTGCTGGATGACCTCAAAGGTCATGTTGTTCATGGCGAGCTTCCGTTCCGTGTGGCGCTGTAGCCGCTGCTCCGCCAGGGTCAGATCCTCCGTGTTGAAGTCGTTCATCTGCCGGAGCAGGTCCTCATTCCAGGCGTCCAGCTCTGCTGTCACCTGTGAGAAGCACGCTCGTGGTGAGCCAGGGCTTGCTGGGTCCACAGGAGGCTGCTGGACTGCAGCGTTTGGCTGAAAGCCCTACCAACTAACCCACCCCTCACCTTCCGCTCCCTATCTCTTTGGCCCTTAGACGATAGCCACATGTACATGTAACGTGTTTCTGTGGGGTTGAATGTCTAGAGCAACAGCAAATGAATGGCTGCAAACATCTGTGCACTGAATTAACGGTTTATAGAGTTTTGGCGTATTCATCTCACGGTGACCCTCACAATGACCCAGTGAGGCAGGCAGTCAGTGTGGGGTTCTCCAGCTCTGTCTTCTAGACAAGGGCACTGGCCTCAGACAAATGGAGGGTGGTGTGGCTGAGGTTTTCTTGACAGTGAGGGACACGCTAGCTGAGTTCTCTCATCTGCAAAGACTTTATCCATCATCTCACAACTGTCACTGTAAAACCATTTCATAACTCAAACAAAGCTCCAAAGCCGAGTAGTTAGTGCACTTAGGAAGCCAAAACTGGGAGCCAGAGAAGCCTGGGGAATGATTCAAAGTCTCGTCATCAGTTAAAGGACTAGCGAATATTGAAGCCAGGGCTTTCCTTCTGGTTCCTGGGTTCCGCTGTCCTGGATTCTCTTTATTACAAAGGCTGATATCTGAAACAAGTACAACATTCCTCCAGAAGAGTGTTTCTCAACCTGTGGGTCATAATCCTTTGTGGGGTGTGTGTGTGTGTTGAACAACTCTTTCACAAGGGTCACTTATGTCCATTAGAAACACAGATGTTTACATCACCATTCATAACAGTAGCAAAACCACAACCACAGTTGTGAAGCAGCGAAGAAAACAGTTTGATGGTTAGGGGTCACCACAGCATTGAGGAACTGCATTAGGGGGCCTCAGCGTTAGGAAGGCGGAGGACCACTGATCTAGAAAATCAAGCAGATTGTAGTCTACCGAAAGCAGTGATGATGCTGATGAAGTATGGGGCACGTGATAAATAAACGCAGTGACCTGATGTGGTGGCTTAGCTAGCTCATTCTCTACACCTCAACTCAGGCAATTTCCCCTAATCTGCTTTCAGTTCTCGGCTGGTTAAGGTCGAGCCCTCCACCCATTTACCTTCCCTGCATAGGCCACAGAGAAGGAACTCCAAAGCGCTGAATTACATGATTCTGGGAATCAAAGTTTCTATCATGTCTTCTTGTGTAATACCCACAACCAGCGAAGGCACCAGTTTGTGAAACTGTGGCCATCTTAACTAAGGAGTGGAAATGAATGTCTCTGCGGGTCACATATCTGCAGCGCGGCCCAGCAGTCTAAGCATGTACCCAGAGTTTAGGGTTTTCACTACGCCGGGTTTCATCCCAGCTGACAGGTGGCATCATCTTTCTAGTGACCAAATGCAGATCGGTCTAAGGCATCAGAGGGCACCAGGAAGTAGAAGCCAGCTAGAGGCAAAAGAAGTGTTGTATCCAAGCTGTGGCCACGCAGGATGGGTTGGGAGAGCAAAGCAGTCCTTTGCAGGGCTGCTTGTCCAGGTCATAGGATTCCGTGTGTCGTCTAAGGGTAAGATCTTTCTTCTAGCAAAACAGAAACGGATAAAAGCACAGTGGTTGTCTTTGAAGTGGAGATGCGGGAACTGCAGACTTCCTCCCTTACAGCTCTGGTTCCCACCTCATGCACCAGATCTGTTCGGGTCAACTCAGGGAACTGCTGAGCTCAGCAGGGAAACCGGTATGGACTCATGGTGGAGGAGACCCGGAAACCAGCAGGTGAGCAGGCGAAACAGACTTCCGTTGGAGCCTTGTCTTTGAGGGACACTTCACTTTCTAACTGCAGATAGGGGCTGACTGGAGAGTAAGACACACCTCATTCCATAAGAGAATTTAAAGGCTGAACACACCGCTTCACTTTCTAACTGCAGAGAGGGGCTCAATGGAGAATAAGGGATACCTCATCCCATAAGAGAATTTATAGGCTAAACCCACTGCACATAAGTAGGTTTTTTTCTTCCTGTATTTGAAAATTAGAATATAATTTACATGTAATGCACATACTTTGAGCACTCAGTTCTGGGGGTTTGGGGTTTTGGCAGTTTCATACATTGGGTATACAGTCATCATCCAAAACACCCATCAGCCCCGGGAGCTCATTCTTGATCATTTCCAGTTAGTTCTGCCCTCCTTGCTCAAGGAGGCACTTTGGGATTTCTATCAGGTAGAGTTTTGTCTATTGGATTCTCTGGGACTGAAATCATAGATACATATCTGTACATAGGTACAGATACTCTACCGTCTGGCCTCCTGTTCAGCATGCTACATGATGGGCAGGCATCACCGTGGCGTGTGTCAGCAGTTCATTCCTGGCCGTAAAAGGATGGAATCCACTGTCCACATGGCTCACCCCTTACTTATCCTCTCTCCTGCTGACCATTGCGTGGCCATTACGAATAAGGCTGACGTAAGAACTGTCACACCACTCTTTCTGTGGGCACAGCTTTTCGCTGCCTTTGAGTGGAACAAATTTGTGTATCTAAGCAACTGTCAGAGTCTTTCACAGGGATTATAACATTTCATACATTTGATGGTGACAGTGTATGGAGGTTCCCATTGCCCGGCACCCTTACTGTCTTCTGTCATTACTATCTGTTCAATTTTCATGAAACTATTACATGGGAAGTGATCATTCATCGCAGTTTTAAAATGTACCGACCTCACAGCGATTGATGCGGATAATATTTTTAGAAGCTTTGCTGACCATTTGCATATCTACCTTTAAAAGTGTTTTGTTGTTGTTATTTTTGCTTGTCAGTGTTTGGTTTTTCAGACGGAATGTTGCTATGTAGCCAAGGCTGGCCTTAAATTCAAAATCATCCACCTCAGACTAAGTGTGGGATTGCAGGAGTACCCTACCATATCCAGTTGATGACTCTTCTTCTGATTTATATATATATATATGTAAGTGTCCTTAATATGTTTGGATAAAATTCTTTGTGAGAGAATCTATAGAAATGGTCAAAACCATAATTTCAGGTCTGTTCCTTGCCTGGAAATACAGAAAATTAGAATAAAACTAAAACCATAGCATGAAGGGGTATGGGAAGGCTGGGCCTGTCTGTCATTTCAGTTTTAACTTTTGTTTTGTTTCTATAAAATTGACCCTAAATGATTCTTTTTGTCACAGGAAGATTCCAGATGGGTCCTAAGACCAGGATTCTTCGAGATAAAAAGCTTTATACAAGCTGGTGGTCCCTGGAAGAAGGCTTCGTATTGGAGAGACAGGCTCAGAGGTCTGGTACTTTCGGACTATGTCCCAAACCAAAGGTAAAATGTCTAGTCATCTGTGCTCAGTGTTTCCACACTCTGCCTCCTCTCTGCTTACCCCCAGCATCCTTTTCGGTTGACCACAGTAAGCTGATGCCCAAGTCTACTGTGTGGCCTGAATAACGAGGGCTTCCAGAGCCTGCTGTTAAGCATCTGACTCCAGAGGCTAACTTCTCAGCTGGCATCTGATTAATTCCCTTTTCTAGTTTCCTGAAACATGGTCATCCAGAGGCCTCAGTTAGTCTCCCTTGTATGTATCCAACATTTCTCGGAGATGAAATCAGTCTCTTTCCTGAGTATTTTATGTCCTCAAGGAACATCCTTCCGCTGGGTTCCTTTCCTTTCCACAAGTCTGGCATATAACAGGGCTCATTTTGTTGTTTAAAAAGATGGCTTCTGACTTCCACTCTAACTTACTGCTGATGAGCAAGGCTGGCTTTCCAGCTGTCCCTTATGCTCATCTGTGGAGAATCCAGCTGGTTTGCTGGTGATTTGGAGAGTGAGCTCATCCTTATCATCACCTTCTGGGTACCACGTTCTGAAATGACCTCATCTGTCCCTTAATCTACTGATGTCCTGACCACTCCACAGAACACGTCCTCAAAGAGATTCACAATCTTCCAGGGCCAGAGGCCATTCTCTGACTGTCCCCAAAATGTGGGGGTGGGGGGTGGGGGTGTATGTGTCTGCTCTCACAGAGACAACGCTGTGAGAAGCAGAGTCTATACCGGAAATGAATTTGATGATTTAACTGTATTTGGAGAGAAGTTGGCCAAGCTCGAAGCAAAGCCTGAACCAAATGAAACAGAGAAAACACAAAGTTCCCAAGTGCACTCAGCTGTCTGTTGGCCTACTTTGTTTTTTCTATTCTATTCAATTAGCTCCTCATCAACTCTCAGAGTGCTCAGGGACCCAGGTGACTCTGGGGACTCTGTCGTTCTCTCTTGATTCAGAGTTTTAGACTTGGAAGACTAGGCCCGGCGTGTGGCTGAAGAATGAGGCCTTCCTCAAGGGGCCTCAGGAACGGTGACCTCTTTGAAAGACATTTTGGAAAGAATATTGTCTGTACTGGAGATACCAAGAAGGGAGTTAGAAAAATAATGGAAAGGTTGTTTTTCTTTAGGGGGGGGAGAGGATGAAAAGTAGGAAAAGAAGCCCAAGACTTTCCTACCAGAATAGATTCACCAAACTCAAGGCCGTGCTGCTAAACAACCGATGGATAGAAGCTGTAATCATCTTGGGCCCTGTTCTCAGACAGTCATCCCCATGGGGTCTTCCCATTCCTACTCTTCCTAGGCATTTAGGTTTGGAGAATTAGTTAGCTCTCAAAATACCTGTTAGTATTTTATTCTGTGCCTGTCTTTAAAAAAAAAATGTGTCTTCTTCTTTTCTTCTCCTTCCTTTCTTTACTTCTTCTCTTTATAAATAATCACGAACCAGCGTGACATCTTAAATGAGAATGGCCCCCATAGGCTCATATATTTGAATGCTTGGTTGCAGTTTGTGGGACTATTAGGGAAGGATTGGGAGGTGTGGCCTTGTTGAAATGAAATGATGTGTCACTGGGAATAGGCTTTGTAGTTTCAAAAGGCCCAGGCCAGGCCCAATTATCTCTCTCTGCCTCATGCTTGTGGATCAGGATGCAAGTTCTCAGCTGCTGTTCTAGCATCATGCCTG